TAATTAAAAGGTTTAATTAATTTAAACATTTCAGAACTCCTATGGATATGGTTGGACGATTTTCAGATAAGGCCTATCAAGGTTTTAAAGTTGCTTTAAGATTACGCAACTGAAGCCTATAAATAAAGAGTTGGGGATCAAATCCTTGATACTCATTCCTTGCTTAGAAATTCGGCTCCTCTCCCTAACGGGACGAAATTCTTAATCCTTTTATGGTTTGTAGAATTTTCGAGTTAGCCTCCCCTCTCCTAGGGTTTCTTTTGTTTTTCTCTTGGTATCATTAACTGTGAACCATTAGAGAGATTCTACTTTGGATCCTTACATCCAATCAAAGGTGGTGGCAAGAGCTAGATCCAAAACAAGAATATCTTTAGTTTCTAAAAAGGTACGTAATTGCAATAATAAAATAAAACTTAGATCTCTATAGGTTGCATGAACATATAAGAATTGTTGTATGTTTTCGTTACACATAATCATGTGTTAGTATCTAGAAAACCTATCACATTTGATCTATTATTCGTAGATTAGTGCTTGTTGGTACCGTCTACCACCTACGCCAAGAAACAATGGGATCTCCAAGAGCAAGAGATTGACATTACGGTGCAGTGGTCAAGACAAATATTCTGGAATCCTAAGCATGAAGTTGAAGTACACAACAAATGTCGATAAAGTTCGGGATGTTTGGAAGGAAGATATCACCATAAAGCATGTGCATCAAAAAGTTATGTTTATGTATCAAAGTTCTTTTGGCCTCCTTTTTTGGTTGTTCTATGTAGTCTTTATGTCTTTCCATTGGTGGGATGTCCACAACCTACTATTGTAATTTTATTTTATTCTCTTGTTAATAATTTTTTTTCAGTAGTTGTCCTTTACTAAAAAATACATGAACTACTAGTATGTTGTGATAAATGGGTGTTTTATAGTGTTGCATGTTATAGGAACAGGTGTAATGTCTCATTGCATAATCTTATATGTTAAGTCTCTTTGTACACAACAGTGGCTCGTTACATGATCCAACTGTTGTGTATTTTGTAGTTCTCAACAATAACTGATGTTAATGTGCACGAAAGCCATGATCTCATTAAGTCTATTGTATGTCATCTCCATTTAAGCAAGTTTTTATTGTTTAAATTGTAAGATGATAGGATTATGAGTATATATAAAATATAATACCTAAATTCCATTTCTTCTTGGCTCATAAAACATTACACAAAGACACGTAAACTCCATTTGTTTGCTTACAAAACATGCCCAAAAACACACAAATTTAAAAGGTTCAATTTCTTCCAGTAGACTTAGACTTAGCAAACCCAATAACCATGAACATTAAATCCCATGGTTAAACCTAATTTCCAAATGTTAAGTCATAATAGCCATTTCTATGTCCATCGCACAACATAACATCTAGCAAATATCATAGTGACATGAAAAACAAGACACCATCTATCAAACACAACCAATTTTGGCAACTTTTTAGAACAAAAAAGTCAATATATTGTCACTCACCTAGTATTGTAGACTCTGCTCACATTTAGCCTGTATAAAGAATAAGATTGAATTGTAACTTTTCAAAATTGATTATAAAAGTAACCAAATAATATTAACAATGAAATTTATATATATCAAACTCAACATTGGATACGGAATTACCTTCTGTTTCAAAATTGTTTATGCACGAAGATCCGTAACTTTTCCAATTGCAACTGTTTTTCCTGTATAAGATATTGTTTAATTGTTTAATTGATGACATCATTTAGGTTAGATTTGTGTAAAATAATATTTTTTTTAAATAAAAAAACAAAACATGTGTATTTTTCACCATTAAAACGATATAGTCAACGAGTAAACCATTATACTTTTTTTGACTGTTTAAAAAAAAAAAACATTTTTCTGAATTACTTGGTTTTGATATTTTTGGGAAAAATAAAGAAAAATACATTTAGTCACTGAAATATTATTTAATAATGATAAAAAAGATAGTTTACTTACTAAATCGATAAAATGATGGGAAAAGTGGTTTTTTAAATGGTCTACAAGAATATAATGGTTTAATCACTACAGAAAGTAGTTAATAAAATGGTGAAAGTGAAAATACTTTTTTGTATTTTTCCTTTTAGAATTTAAAAATATTGAAAAAAGAATTTTTCACCTTCAGAGCGGAGTGTAAATCGACCAAGTTGTTGAAAGTCTGTGAATTTCTCAATGCATATCATATTAGTCACCTGGGGAAAATATTAAACAAACAACCATAAAAATTAATGTCATTCAACAAATTTAAATTTATAAAACAAATGACAGTATTTGAATACTTTATACATAATTTAATTATAATTATTGAACTTTTTATGTCTTAAAAAAAAATTGTAACATAACAAAACCCTTTACAAAAAAAAAATGTAATTTTACTAATCATGGATTTTTTTTTAAAAAAGATTTGTCCCACTAAAATTTACACAAAAAACAAGAATGGATATGTTAAAGGGGGCAAGGGGCAAAAGGGTCTTTTGACAAATAAGAAAACTAACCTGAATACGACAAATGACAGCAGCACCATTTTTGACAAAAAGCACCTTCTTTTTCATTGGTTTCCTGGTTTTAGGATCAAGCTGATGCATCAACTCAATGATCTCACATTCCTCAACAACAGAGTGAATATGCAATATAGCTTTGTATCCAGCAGTGAAAATAGCCTAAAATTAAAAGAACAAAAAAAAACCCATAAACAATAAATAATATAATTAATTAAATCCAAGATGAAAGATTTATTTAAGGTGAATACATTTTCCAACAATTCAAGGATTTGCAACTGAGCTATGAACTCATGAACCACTGGTATTGGTTTTTCTGCAAACAAAAAAAAAGAAAAAAAAACATCAATAGTCTGTTTCATTTTATTAAAGTAAATATATGTTTATTTATTATTGATATTAGAAAGGAAAAGAAAACATAATAATACCAATACTGCAAAGAACAAAGCCTGAAAGTATGTCTTCTTCTTCAATCCCAGATACTCTGACACGTAGATTCTCACCGGGGCCCGCACTCCTCACTCTATCCTCATCCATAAAGAGAGCAAGAACTTTCACTTGAACCTGCATATGGAATTTACAAATATGCCCTTTTAGATCTATTAATGAAAGCCTTAAATAAATGCAATAAATATCTTTCTACTTCTATTGGTTATTACTTTGAAATACCTACCCAATTATTATAGCAAGCAAATTTTACTACTATGCTATTGACTATTGGTATAATATAAAATATATATATAATTGAGTAGATTTTTCTAAAGAAATAAATAAATGGAAATAAATTGAGAATACCTTGTTTGGCATTATGAGAAGGTTATTGCCTTCACGTATGCTACCAGATTCTACTTTTCCCATAACAACAGTTCCCATGTCCTTAAACTTGTCAATAATAGGCATTCTGAAATATTTATAATTAAAAAATATATCAACTTACAAAATAAATAAATAAATATATGTAAATTTTTCACTTCATTCTATATATAACATTTGATGAAATGTAGTTACTGTTCATAAGGTCGTGTCAAGGAACAGTGACTTTTGGAAAATGACAGAAATGCTCCCTAATTTGGAAAACAGGTTCAGAAATGGTTCATGTGTCAAAAACTACAGAAACTGTCCTCATCTAATACATAATTACATAACCAGTCCCTCTGTACATTTTTTTAAAACCAATAGAAACGGACACTGTTTGTAACTTTTTTAAAATGACACAAATGGTCCCTGTTTTGAGAAACAACTTCAGATATGGTCCATGTGTAAAAAAAATTATAAAAAATTACAGAAATGATCCCTCTGTACGTTTTTTTTAAAAACTAACAGAATAAACAATCAACCAAGTCCAGCATCAAAGTAATGCAATAACAATATGGTTTACTAATAAGGCATATAGAAGGGATTAAAAAACAAAAGGAAAAATAAGTAGAAAGATATATATATATATATATATATATATATATATATATATATATATATATTACCTAAATGGAGCAGTTGGATCACGAAGAGGAACTTCAATAACATCAAGAGCTTCAAAGAGACATTGACCACTGAACCAAGGGCATACTTTTTTGTCCATTCTTGTTTGCATATTAGTTCCAAAAAGACCAGATATTGGAAGAAACTGAATATCTGCAACAATTTTTTATAAAAAAAATATAGCTAACATTATTTATAAAACCTTACCAGAAAACAACAGTATAAAAAATCTGCAAAACCTTAAAGTTGGTTGGAATTGGATAAGTTAAACCTTAAGGCATTGTACTTTGAAAAATCTAGCTAATCATAGCAATGAAAACTGCTTTGTATTTTCATGAAATTATTATAATTAAATTAGGTAGATTTTGTCAAAGAATAATGTTGTAATTAAAGTCCTATGCTAATGCTAAACAATAAACAAATAAAATAAAGTGTGTTGTTATATATTAGCTTCTATTTAACCCAACCTAAACAACTTTCATCTTATTTCAATCAACCTAAATGATTCTTAATAACTTCTTTTACTATCCATGTTGCCTTTTAATCTTCTCTCTATATAAACTATCATGTCAACAACACCCTAAAAGGGTTTGTAGTTCATAATAATCAGCTTCAATTTAAAGAGAAAACAAACCCCAAAATTACATTTTCATTACAAATCACAACCTAGGGTGAGAAGGGCATACATGTCTTTTGCACCAATGAGATTGAGATCAATTGCCAAATGTAGTACTATACTATCACTTTGTCTTATACACAACTAACAAAAATATGTAAACATTTTTACCTTTTTTAACATTGTAGCCTGAAGATTTCAAGAAAGGAACCATTTTCGATTCGATTTCATTATACCTAGAAAAACAAGAAGAATTTTAGTAAATACAAGAATTAGATTCGTGTTATATACAAAAGAGAAAGAAAGAAAAAAAAAATAGTGGTTGACTAAATAAAACACCTCTCTTTTGACCAGTTAACAGTTGGATCATCCATTTTATTGACAACAACCAAGAGCTTAGTGACACCCAAAGTCTTTGCAAGTTGAACATGTTCACGAGTTTGTCCACCTCTCTCATATCCAGTTTCAAATTCACCCTTTCGTGCAGATATGACCTAATAAATAATGTCATGTGTAATAACAATTTAAGTTGTCATATAATTAAGTTATCATAATAAAGGGAAAAGTAAAAAAACAATAACAAGATTTTTTGAAGCAAAAAAGGTTACCAGTACTCCTATATCAGCTTGAGAAGCACCCATAATCATGTTAGGTACATAACTTTTATGCCCCTAAAAGATAAAACACTTTCATATCATTAGTGAAATTGAAGGGCTAGATGGAAAAAAAAAACAGCAACTTAATTTAATTTATTTCTATGTTACAGCATTGTAATTTGAAAAATCTACCTATTTATTGCACTGAACTTCCAGTTTTTAAAAATTAATTAAATTATACTTATCATCAATCATCATATATTATATAAACTACCCTCATATGATTTTACAGTTTTTGAAGTATATGTCATGTTTTTGAAGAATAACATTAGTTAATATCAACATTAAAATAAGAAAAAATTATTAAATGTTACTTTATGGTAATGTTTTTTAGTCTTTGGTATTTTTATCATTTGAAAATTTTGACAGTTACTTTCTTTTGATATGATTTTCGATTAAATATATTTAAATCTATTTTGTATATATTTTCAAATATACTAAGTAACAAAATAAATTAGTATCTACATATGACTAGGGTGTAAATTTAAGTAATAAAATTGTAAATTTAGAACACTGTATTTTGAAAAATCTATCACACTATAGCAGTGAAACTTGGTTTATATTTAGATGAAATTGCTACAGTTGATAGATTTTTCATGGGGATAAATGAAAGTAGGATGTTTTAATAAAAAATTCAATGAAAGCATATTTACTATTTCTTACATTTGACAAAAATTAAACCACTCGAGTGGCATCTTTTATTAAAAGCCCCTTTTAGGAAATACTAACAGAGACATCTGAGTAATTGCATTTTTTTTTTCTCATGATGACTATAAAGTATAAACAAATAATATATATTCTATTATCTATTTTGCTACTTCAAAAATATAATGGCAAAAAGAGTTACTTACAGGTGCATCCAATATGGTGAAACGTGTAGTTTCTGTCTCAAAATGTGCACGTCCAACTTCAACTGTTTTTCCCTGCAATGAGTATTTGACATTATAGAAATGCATATTGTAAGCATGAAATTTAAACAAGGTTAAGGTTTGGAGCTCAAATTTTATTCTTTTGATAATTGAAATAAATTTATAAATCTTCCGAATAATTAATTCGAGTTAGAAAGAGGGTAGATTAATAATACCTTTGCTCTCTCTTCTTCATTGGTATCCATAATGTATGCCATGTACCTAGTGTGAATTAAAAGTGAGAAAAAAATAAAACATCATGAGAAAAATGAAACAAAGCGCCTCAATGAAATGTGAAAACCCCAATAATTTAATAATTTCATAAACCCTGGGCAAAACTGTCAAACTTGTTTTATGTGAGTAGATTCTTAAGTAGATTCTTGAAATCATACCTAACCATCTAAAAAAGCAACAAAAGATTCCACAATGAAGGATTCTGTTAGGCCTAAATTGGTATGTAAAGGGTAGTTTTGGAATTTTCTTCTAGGTCCAAAAGGGGGCATAGAAATATGCCCCTTGACTTGTAGGGTTTTAAAAAAGATACTGAATCAATCATTGAACATAACTCTTGTAAAAAAAACTAAGCAATTCAGTATACTTTGCTTTTTATCCCTCACTAATTAGAACTTAAAAACTTTTAGCATTATTTATCCATCACAACTCACTCAAATATCTTCCAAACGTCATGAAGTTGCATCTCCTAGGTGGATTTTCCCTTATTATAGTCATCCCTCTAATCAATTTTGGTGTGTCCTGTTAGAAATATGGTTTAGATTCAATCTTGTCTAGTTATAAAGATTAATTTTTTAATATGTTGATTTGTTTAAAAAGGAAGTCTGGAATCAAAAAGCAGATGACATGGATTTGATTAAAAAAAGAGAAACGTTGGGATTTAAAGCAGCCAAGTTAAAAAGATAATGGTTAAAGAAGCAATAGGATTGAAACTAAAGGGTTGAACTTAAAATGTGTAGAAAATATAAATAGCTGACTATATTGGAAAATTAAAAGGATTACATTATATCGGCTTAGATAGAAACAAAAGAAATCCTTTCTTATATGTTGTTAAACATTGCTAGTTGATGATTATTTGTGTGTAAATCTGTAGATTCAACTGTTAATCACATCCTATTCAAGACAAACTAGAATAATAAACACTTTGTATTGTTTAAGCTTTTCAAAGATCTGTTAGTTTGAAATTTTTAACATGTCCTGTTAGAAGCAGATATCCACCCACACAACAGTATTGTGAAAAGACAAATGAACATTGTGAAAAAAGTGTTTGACAATAAACAATCACATGAGTTAAAAACATAAAAACACATAACCATATAAGATAAAGTAAAAAGATAGTCCAGAATCTGCAGCCAATTATTAAAAGACTAGAACAACTTACCAGCTCTCTCTACTCTTATCCTTGGCTTCTTTCTCATATTTTTGAATTGTACGCTCATCAACTTGGCCACTGAGGTAAAGTATCTGGCCTCCAATGGTAGATTTTCCAGCATCTTTAGTACATATGATGAAACAAATTTGTGTCAGATGATGAATTACAAGAGCTCGATATTAAGGTGGCTAAAAAAATTGATTTGTTGTGCTATAAGACGACTGAATGTGAGAAAAAACTTAAAAGATATTTTGTCCTAGGTAGTTAAGATGGTTGCCTGAATAAACAATTAAATATAACAAAGAAAACGAATGAGAGAGGAAAACAGTTTCATGAAGTACTGCTTGTGATAAAAAAAATGACCTAAAACAGGACACTTGTCATTGAAGACAACATAAGAGAATAGTTTGATTGTAAAGATTCATGTAATCAAAAAGATGAAAACACTCATAAGTAAAGTATGGAGTTGAGAAGGGAGGACTACATAAACAAAATAACATGTTATAATCAGCTATGAAAATGGAAACATGTGTTTAATACTTTAATATGCATTAGATTAAGAGTTCAAAACTGCATATATAAATCAAAGCAAAAGCTATTAAGAACAAGTTGAAAATGTGAGAATGAAAGATTTAGAATCATAACTAGATCAAAAGTATGCTATGCAAAACCCAAAAAAGTTTGAGTACATAAATAACTAGATCAAAAGCCAATATGTCAAAATCAAAACTAGTTCATACGCATTACGAAATTAACAACTTAAGAAATTAACTCACCAACATGACCGATGAATACCACATTTAAGTGTCTCTTCTTATTCTTCTCATCATCAACAGGTTCTGGAGCAGAAGTTGCTTGCTCTTTCACTGGAATCAAATGAGATTTATGCTTTTTGAGAAATTAGATAATGATAATCTTGAAACAATTCAGAAAAGTACATATCTCTGCTTTAGAACAAACATCTTAAATGGAACGTGGACATAAACAAAGAGTATCTATCATATAACAGACCTGCAATGGCAGCTTGTGGATCAGAATGCCCTGTGTGGGGGTTAGCATCCTCCTCCATGTGGGAGTCGGTTTGTGACTCATTCCTCAAATCTGCACAGACAAAAAGGTAAAAGCTATTTAGATTCATGGCAAAAATACTCAACTGAAATAAAAGGGAGAGAAAAGAGAAGAGGATAGAACAAGGCCAAACTGAAGGAACAGATTCTCCATACCTTCTTCCAATTTATCCAGAGCTATGGATTCTTGATGCTCCCCACCATTCTCATTAGTCACCATGTTGCTATCTTCACCTAGCATTTAAACAAAAGAATATAATAACATCACAGAAACTTAAGTATCTCCGAATCTCCTTTATACTTCAATCATTGAGAGTACTACTACGAAACTATTTTTCAGAACAAATCCACAAGGGAACAAAATCCGAAAACATAACTAGAAGAAGAGATTTCCTAAATCCTAAGTCTAGAAGAACTTCTACAGATCAGTTATACAATTCCTAAAATCAGAAAGTACGAATCTACAAAAAACTCTTTATGCTTATGAAATCAGATCAAGGAAACCTACCAGATGAGTCCAGTTGCAAAGCGCGAATGTCCTCCTCGATATTATCTGCGATTGAAAGAAAGAAAAAAAGTTCAGTATTCCGCTTAAATTTTACAAATATTTAGGGATTAAGAGACAAAATAAAAAAAGAAAATCCGATTAGTGAACTACAAGTAAACAGATATGAACGATGTAACAATGATTAAAACGGATTGAAAACAAAACTATAAACTGATTGAAATAGAGAAAACCTTACCCATTTGTTGAACTGCGATAAACGCGTTTTACGAAACAATCAGGAATTGTCGTTAAACCTGAAGTAAAAGGAAGAAAATTATGCCTTTAAATTGAGTAGAGGAGATGAATCTGAGAGTGGGAGAGAAGTTACTAGCAGATTAACGGCGAGATGTTGGGCGTCGCTGCTGAAAGACTGTAGAAGCAGAAAATTGTGTAAAGAATTCAGAGGTTTAGGCTTTCTTATGAATTTCGGGTTGGCATCGCTTTGATATTTTATTATATATTTTTAAGGAAAACATTTAGGGTTTGTTGAAAACTTTTTTTTTTATATATTTTCGGAAGACAAATGTTATATTTAGCGGACTAGCTGATGGTTAAAAAGCTAGTTGTTAAATAAAAACCTAGCTGATAGTTGAAAAATTAACTGATAAAAAATAACGTTTGGTAAAACTAGCTGAAATATATAAAATTACATAAAATAACATGTAAGAAAATATGTTTGTTGAAACCTTGAGAGTTTTTATTTTTATTTTACAAATTTAGAATATTTGGATAACTTTGAAAAAATATTTTTCTAATTTATATAAAGCTTTGAAAAGAGAAGATTTTTATTTTCTTTGATTTTTTAAAAACTAAATCACCAAACCGTGTTTTTAAAAGTTTTATATTTATTTGAAAAATTTTATGAAAAAAATGGAATTTTTTCCATAATCAAGTGCACCTTTACTTTTTGAAAAAGGGAAATTTTCATTGTAAACTAACTATGTTTTGTGTATTGGTTTAAATGGTCCTTCGTAATTATTTTTTACATTTAAATAGTTTTTACTTGTAAATGACCGGTCACTTTGGTACTTTAACCCACATTTGAAGGTAATACTACTGTGTGGAGTGTCAGCTAAGTGGGTGAGTCAGCATCCAATCATAGACGAGTGGACTCGTCTTCCACCCAAGTCGACACTTAATCCGGTTTAATACCTTCATTAACTACTACACACCCACTAACCACCCTTAGATGACAAGGAATCATCGGTGATGGGGGCATATAGCACCATCACAAACCCGTGGGGCTTAACCTAGCATATTCTCGAGACTTTTTTACTTTAATTGGGCAAACACAATTCCGACCAAAACCCTAAATACCGACAATGTCGGCTCCACCACCTCTTTCACCTGAGTCGATAAATTCATGGGAGTTTCTCAACCTCAACAACTTGCATACTATTGTTTGCGACTGTGGAGACAAGATTGTTGCCAGCCAGATCGAGATGCAGAGGCTCAAAGATCAGTTGGGTAAAGATTTTATTATGTGTCGTGTTGATCACATCAGTCTCCAGTACAAGTTGGAATATCATAACAGGCAATTAAAAGCAATTGTTGTGGTGATGGGCAGTGTCATGGTGGCAATGTTTGGGATGATGGTGGTGTTGGGTTATGAGCATAACATCATTCCTATGGTGTTCATGCAACCCTGATTGCTTTGATCTATGCTTTTCTACTATGAACACAACAACATTGAATACCAAAGCAATTATCCTAAGAACTTGTCACTGTTGGGTTTTAGCCATAAGAACTTTCCTATGTGCGCATGCAAAACCCTATTGCTTGGATCTAGGCTTTCTAATAAACATGCTTTTGAATCCAAGACTTCTAATGGCTAATTAGGTTAAACAACAACATTAATACAGATCTAGAACCATACCTTTGAGTTCCTTGTTGATCTTCTTGTCTTGGAGCTTCTAGAGTCACAATTGTCACTCCTCTAATGGCTTACAAACACCAATAGCAAGCAAAATGATTTTAGGAGAAAGGAGAGGGGGTGGAATTCGACCAGAGGTTCCTTGCTTTAGGTTCTAAAAGGTTGTACACGAATTCCACATCCCAAGGGCCTATTTATACCTTTAGACTCCTTAAAGGTTTCACCCTAAACCCTAATTGGATAATCTTCTCTTAAGGCTATCCAAATCCATTCCATAGATATCCTTATGGACGATTTTGAGCTATCCTAAAGCTCTTAGAATCCGTCCAAAGTCCATCCTAATGGATTTATAGTCTAAAGTCTAACTATCAAACAATTGACAGTTTATACCCTCTTATTTAATTAATCTCTTTAAGTCACCAAATTAATACCAATTAATTTATGACTTATATTAATCAAATAGCTAAATATTATTCCTTATAATATTTACTCTCTCTTAACAAATCATCCTTCAAGTTGCTATGGTGAAGGCAACCCAAAAGGACCATGCACCACCGAATATAGTTATAGCCTTAGACACTATTCCAACAGTCTCCCACTTGGATAAGTCTAGTAACTATACAAGTATAATACGGTTTGCAATCGTAGCTCTCAAAGACGCTGTCAACTCTGATCTAATCAATCTTGTCCTTTAGATAAGGGATCGTACAGTCCTCTGTTAGATATCATGCTGACAATCCTATGGAATGGTTAGTCTAGCATTTAGATTTCTCGATCTTCGATTTATTTGACATAGAACTTAATCGAACACATCAATTCAGTTCTGACCGGGCCCGGCACATAAGTCAAATCAAATCATCGAGTGGCCAAGATATCTCTTCTACCCTCTTAGGATAAAATTTACAGATAAACTTCGACTTATATGCATTTACTTATTCATTAACCAACTATACACAACAATGCGTTTTATAACATCAAGTTACTGATGCGTTTTCGCATTATCAATGCACAATCAATTAACAAATAATAAACCATATATCTAGGTTTTAAGACCATATGATATTATCGTCTTGCGATCACCTTTTATATCGTATTCCATAAGGTGATTCCAGCAAGCGCGGGTTTATTCCAATGCTCAAAACCAGTTCATAAGCACTCATGAACGTTGCAGCAACTCTTGCTATGTCTAACACCATTTAGACACTCTACACACCAATTCACGACAATCTTCATTCATATCTACTCCCAACATATGAACGATTGTGGACCATTTGAATAATTCGATTATTCCTAATAAACTCAATTATTCTGGAAGTCAAAACATGCAAAGTGAAACAATAGTTAAACAACTAACATGTGATAGTAACTTTACTCATAAATAAAACTTCTTTATTTAATCATCAAATGTTAATTACATTTATCTATTATACGTTTCTAATACTATCTAATCTATGCTAATATCATCCTTCAGCCCAATACTCCTAGCATGCTGTAAGTGCTTAACCCTACTCAGTCCCTTCGTAAGCGGATCTGCTGGGTTATCTTCTGATGATATCCTCTTCACTACGAGTTGTCCTTCTTCTACACGATGTCTAATGAAGTGATATTTTCTGTCGATATGTCGAGATCTACCATGATCCCTCGGTTCCTTGGTCAAGGCAACCGCACCTTCGTTATCACAGAAAATCTCCATGGGCTCCTTTATGGCCGGTACAACTCCAAGATCACCGATGAAGTTCTTCAGCCATATTGCCTCCTTCGACGCTTCGCTTGCTGCGATGTACTCTGATTCGCACGTTGAATCAGCTACGGTTTCCTGCTTGGAACTTTTCCATGTCACTGCTCCTCCATTTAGGGTAAAGACCCAGCCCGACTGCGAACGGTAGTTGTCCCTGTCGGTTTGAAAGCTGGCGTCACTATACCCTCGCACCTTCAAGTCATCACTCCCTCCAAGGACTAAGAACCATTCTTTCGTCCTCCGAAGGTACTTAAGGATGTTCTTCACCGCAATCCAATGTGCTTTGCCAGGGTTCCCTTGATATCTGCTAACCATGCTCAAAGCGAAGGCTACATCAGGGCGAGTACAAGTCATAGCGTACATGATTGAGCCAACTGCGGAAGCGTATGGTACTCGGCTCATTTCTGCTATCTCGGCTTCGGTACTCGGACTTTGAGTCTTACTCAACTTGGCATTTCCTTGTATCGGTAGTTCTCCCTTCTTTGAGTTTTCCATACTAAAACGTTTTAGTACCTTCTCCAAGTAAGTATTCTGACTAAGTCCAATTAGTCTCTTACTTCTTTCTCTTACTATCCTTATTCCCAAAATGTAAGAAGCCTCTCCGAGGTCCTTCATAGCGAAGCACTTCCCGAGCCAGGACTTAACCTCCTGCAGAGTCGGGATGTCGTTTCCTATGAGTAATATGTCATCGACATATAGAACGAGGAAGCTTACTATACTCCCACTGGCTTTGACATATACACAAGATTCGTCTTCGCTTCGTACAAATCCAAACTCTTTGACTTTCTCATCGAAGCAAAGATTCCATCTGCGAGACGCTTGCTTAAGTCCATAAATGGACTTCTCAAGCTTACACACTCTATTCGGATGCTTCGGATCCACAAACCCCTCTGGCTGAGCCATGTAAACATCCTCAGCCAACTTTCCGTTAAGGAAAGCGGTCTTGACATCCATTTGCCAAATCTCATAATCATGAAATGCGGCAATTGCTAGCATCACTCTAATAGATTTAATCTTCGCAACTGGTGAGAAGGTCTCATCATAGTCAACTCCGGGAGTTTGAGTAAAGCCCTTCGCAACCAATCGCGCTTTATGTGTGTACGTTCCCATCCACGTCGGTCTTCTTCTTGAAGATCCACTTGCACCCTACGGTCTTACGTTCGGGCACGTAATCAACCAAATTCCAAACTTGGTTATCGTACATGGATTGGATCTCGCTATCCATCGCCTCTTTCCATTTCGCAGACTCCGGGCCTGCCATGGCTTCCTTATAGCTATTAGGTTCATCAAGATTTACTAGTGTACCATCACTAATATACGTGTCCCCTTCGGTAGTAATATGAAAACCATAAAACTGGGGTTGAACTCTAACTCTATCGGAACGTCTAAGAGGTAAGGATTCGTCAATCGGTTCAACCGGAGTTTCCTCCTCGGGTTGAACGCCAGCGGTAGAGGTTCCTTCATCTATCGATTCTTGAATCTCTTCAAGTTCGATTTGCCTCCCACTGTCTCCTTGGCTTATGAGTTCTCGCTCTCGGAAAACTCCTCTCCTCGCAACAAAGATAACATTATCTTTCGGTCTATAGAAGAGATATCCAAAGGAAGTTTGCGGGTAGCCGATGAAAATACATCGCTCACTTCGAGGTTCAAGCTTGTCGTGAGTATCTCGTCTTACGAAAGCCTCGCAACCCCAAACCTTGATATGTGCCAACGAGGGAGCTTTCCCCGTCCACATCTCGTGAGGTGTTTTGGCAACCTTCTTGTAGGGACTCGGTTAAGGATATGGGCGGCAGTCTCTAAGGCATACCCCCAAAAGAAGATAGGTAGTGAAGCACGACTCATCATAGAGCGAACCATATCCAATAAGGTTCGATTACGCCTTTCTGCCACACCATTCAATTGCGGTGTCCTAGGAGGCGTCAATTGCGAAACTATTCCACACTCCTTGAGATAATCGTGGAATTCAAGACTTAGGTACTCTCCTCCTCGATCGGATCGAAGCATCTTGATTTTCCTGCCCAATTGATTCTCCACTTCATTCTTGAACTCTTTGAACTTTTCAAAGGTTTCTGACTTTTGCTTGATTAAATAGATATACCCATATCTACTATAATCATCGGTAAAGGTCACATAGAAGCGGTTCCCATCCTTCGTGGTTGATCTAAAAGGTCCACATACATCGGTATGTATTAGGTCTAATAGTCCCTCACCCCTTTCACAAGTACTCGTGAAGGGTGACTTAGTCATCTTTCCAAGTAAACAAGACTCGCATGTGTCATCTTCCCTAAGGTCGAATGACTCCAACACTCCATCCTTTTGGAGTTGGGCTATGCGTTTCTTGTTGACATGTCCAAGACGACAATGCCACAAGGATGCTTTATCCATACTAGTGGAAGAATCAATATTCAAAACATCATTTCCTAAGTTATCAACAATCATAACAGTTTCATATATTCCATTACATGGTATAGCTTCAAAGTAAAAGACACCATTTAGATAAGCCAAAATAGAACCATTCTCATTATTAAAAGAAAATCTAAAACCTTGTCTATATAAACCATGAAATGAAATGATGTTTCTAGCCATTTCTGGCGAATAGCAACAATTGTTCAAATCTAAAACTAAACTATTCTTAAGCACCAAAGAATACACTCCAATCTTGGTCACAGGCGACGATCTTCTGTTCCCCATGATTAGATTGATCCTTCCTTGCTCCACATCCCTACTTCTTTTAGTCCCTGCACATTAGAACAAATGTGATAACCACAACCGGTGTCAAGAACCCAAGAAATAGCATGATTAGAATCGTTAGATTTTATTGCATATATACCTGCGAAAGATGGCTTGATCTTTCCTTCCTTGATGGCTTGCAGGTAATCCGGGCAGCTTCTCTTCCAATGTCCTATCTTGTGGCAGTGGTGGCACTCTGCCTCCTTCGGGTTAGAGCAGGGCTTAGAGGGATCAACTTTGGTCCCACTAGAAGAGGAACCATCTCGGGCTTTCACCTTTCGATAGTTATTTGAAGAAGCTTTCCTCTT